GAAATTGTACCCACACTTCGCATTGTCAGCAAACAATGACCCGTTCATTTTCGGGTGGGGTGCAGGAGTGCTGGGCCAAGTTTATCTGCATCTCTCTCTCTTTTGACCATTTTTCTTTTCTTTTTCTTTCTTTCTTTTTTTCTTTTTTCTTTTCTTTTTTTTCTTTTCTTTTTTTTTTTTTTAAGCAAGGCAACCCTTGATTGACCTCATAGATTGCAAGGACCTTGTCAGCTTACAATCCCCTTATTTTTTTATTTTTTTTATGGCTACAGCACCCGGTCTTCCTAGGTGGTCTCCCATCCAAGTACTAACCAGGCCCATCCCTGCTTAGCTTCCGAGATCAAACGGGATTGGGCTTGTTCAGGGTAGCATGGCTATAGAGTTGGTCATTTTTCTAACCTGGCTTGGCTGATCTCAGGATATTCTGGATGATCTGAAGTTTCACTAGCAACTTCCTTTAACTATCTGTGAGCAAGAAGCCAAAATTGCCCAGGTGTGCATCCACCAAATCTGTAGAAGTAGAACCAGGTGCTCCAGCAAGGATGGCACGAGACGGAAGCACCTGGCCCCAGCCACCTGAAGGCAATGTTGGGGCCTTGTGGAGGGTCTCATGTAGCTGCTGCTGGTGTCTGGCTTGTGCACACTCTGTTCTGTGAGAGAGTGCTGGGTAGGTGGGCAGTCTGGGGCTCAGAGAGGAGAGCACAGATCCCTATTCTACTCAGGAAGAGATGCCTGGTGCATCTGTCTCAGCACCTCTCCACTGCTGGTCACCAGGGAGGAGACCTCACTGTGTTCCTCTGCGGTCAGCTTGGTGTCTGGTACACAGTGGGACCATGATGTGCGCCATATGAAACACCGTGTTACTTCTGTCCTCCTGAGATGGTCAACTCCCAATGGAGCAGGGCCGGGTGCCGAGCACAGCCTGACACCGATGCTGACACCACCTGGGTGTCCAGCATTCAGCTCCACCCTGACACAGATGACTGGGCTGGCATTTGGTTCCCCAGGTAAAGGGCAAAGGCCTACACCAGGGGTCTCGCTTCAGACTAGTCACACCTCCACCGGGCTGGCTCCACATAGGGGCTTTGAAGGACCCTCAGGTTTGATTACTCACTAGAATGACTCCCAGTAACTCACTGGAAGTATTGTCCTTATGATTCACTTTTATTACAAAGGATGCAACTGAGGAACACCAGAAAGGAAGAGATGCACTGGGTGAGGTCTGGGGGGTCCGTGCAAGGCCATCCCCATGTCGGCGCTTCCCCTCCCAGCCCCCCACCATGCCTACAACCAGCAAGCCCCGGAGCTGAGCTGTCTCAAGTTCTTACGGGGGTTTCGTTAGCATACCCCATGATCATCCCCATCTTCTTTCTTCCAGTCCCCAGAGGTTGGCCTGGCGTAAAGTCCCACGTTCTCATCGCACACATGGTCTTTCTGGTGACCAGCCCCACTGCCCCTCAAATCACCACCTCAACATGACAAAGACCCTCCTGACACTCGGGAAATTCCAAGCGTTCTTGAATTTCTGTGGCAGGACCCAGACCAAGCCTAGGGTCCTTGCCTGCCTCCTTCAGAGAGGTCTTGTGTATCTGCCACACTTGGTCCTGGGGCCAAACTGTGGCCCTCCAGTGCAGGCTGCAGCCCACTAGGGTGCCTTCACTTAAGAGATGAGTAGCAGTGACATCAGGACCCCTCCCCAGAGCCACTAAAATGAAAAGCAGCCTTGAACAATAGCTTTGACGTAGTGAAGAAGTTTTGTAGTTTAAAAGTTCCTGCTAAAGCAGAAAATAAAGGAGAGAGGAAAAGTCCTCGACATAGGCATGTGAAGGATATCTAGTGTGACCCAGGAGTCATCTTGCTTCATTATACAATCATTACAATAAATTAGCATTACTGTTAAGGCTGTACTCGGCACCGTCTGACACCATGACAGTTCCAAAAAGCCCAAACATGGCAAAAAAATTCCACTAGGCTGTGCTCACCAGGGGTTTGCTGCGACTGGGGCAATTTTCCAAGAGTCCCCATCCCTGCTGCTCCCGCGTGGAATCTTCCCGATGCTGCAGCACAGACAGCTCTTCATGAAGGAGCACAGTCAGGGGAAAGGCAGGCTCCTGCCCCACGAAGAGGCAAGTCCAGAGCCTCTCCTGGCCACACACTGTGAAGCAAATCAGGTGCAGAGGCCCATAAGACATGAAATAACTTAGGCTGAGCTGTGTCTACTTGACCCAGCTTCCCCGCACTGCTAATCACCGTACAGTTTATCCACAAAACCCTGGGAGACAGAAGCCCTTCTGCGTGGCTCCTAGCCAGCAGCAGATTATGACAGGAACAGAAGGAGAGAGGTAAGGAAGGCAGGTCGCCTCTTGGTCCCCTGGGAATTATCAGACTGTGTGAGCTTATGCTGGACGGGTTGCCTGGTGTTGGCCTTGATTGACGCAGAACTCCCCAGACCAGGACCATGGGCCCCTGAGTGCTCTTAGTGGGACCCTGCTCCTGGAGCAGCAACAAAAACCCTCCCTTCACGCCCAGCAAAGCTTTAAAGGCTTCACTTGTAGGAGCAAACCCGAAGTTACAGCAAATAATCTTAGGAGAGAGAACGTCCATTTGAAATTTCTGAGAACCTGGTATAAGCAAGGTGATACTAATAGTAACAACCTGCATGTAACATGAGGTTAAAATATGGCCCCAGGGATAGTGAGAGAAGACACTTGGAAACTAGATGGTGATGAAGGAGTCACACACAATAGGTTGAACTGTGTTCCCCTAGAGATGTGTCTGAGCACTAACCTCCAGAGCCTAAGAATGTGGCCTTGCTTGGAGAAAGAGCCTTCTCTGATGTGATCCAGTTGAAGGTCTTGTGTAGATCATCCCGGATTCCCTGGCTGAGCCCTAAATCCCATGATGAGTGTCCTTTTGATCTGAAGAGATATGACAGATGAGGAAACACAGGGGAGCAGGCCATGCAAAGATGGAAGCAGGAACTGGAGTAATGTGGCCACAAGCATTGGGCTAGCTGGAGTCAGCGGAAACTGGAAGAGGCAGAAAGCATCTGTTCCCAGAGCCTTCAATGCCTGGATTTCTCGCTCTGGCCTTCAGAACTGTGAGGGAAGAGCTTTTTGTTGTTTTAAGTCATCCAATTTGTGTCAATTTGTTACACCAGCTTCTACTAGTGCCAGGCATCCCTTGGCTTGCGGCTGCATCATTCCAAACTCTCTTCTTCTTCCCTTATATCTCTTATAAACACCCATCATTGGAATTAGGGCCAACCCAGACAATTCCTGATGATCACATCTCAACCCTTAACTTAATTACATCTTCCAAGAAACTTTCTCCAAGTACGGTGACACTCACAGGTCCAGGGAACAGGTCTCTGTGCATTTAACCCACAATGGAGATTATCAAGAGTCTGATTCTTTCAAGGAAGGATCAAATCAAAACCAGCCAGGTGATCGGTGATATCCTATGGCTGGCAAATTGAAGCTGCCCTGTGCGTTCTGATTTTCCAGGTAGAGTGATGCTCCCCCAGGAAATAACTCTCTTCAGTCAAGAATCCAATGTTAAACCTGAGAGGATG